TTGGGCGTGAACACCTCCATTGGGAGATACTGTTTCTCCGTATCAGGTACATCCTCCCTCCTACTCCTTTTGGTTCAGATCTGATTTGGTTCATGGTCCAAGATTGATCATTGAAAATATGTTTTCTAAAATAGGGAATTCGATTCCCTGCAAAGATGGGAGAAATTTTTTTTTGAAATTCGCCCAGTCCATTCCGCAAGACTTGGACGTCCATGTGATGGATATCCCATCCCTTCAAAAATGTCTTCTCAAAAAGCAATTAAAACTATAAACTCATTATTTTTTGTGTGAGAACTAAGAATTTAAGACCTAACGTGGACTTGTTTGGGATTGCCTCGAGGGGCGTGGCACAAAGGCGGCTCATAGAGTCAAGATTGTAATATGTTTTACTTCACATTAGCTACTTGAAGTAATGCAATTGAGAAAAGAGTGTGGGTTTTATATGCTTGAAAATGTTTTATATATTTGATTTTATTTTTAAATTCTCATTTGAATATGCTTTATTTGAATATTAGATAATATGTTTTTAAAAACATTTATTTTAAAACTAAAGTTCATATTTTTATTAATATTATGCTTAATAATTTTTTGATTTTTTGCATTCTTTTTGAATTTTTTGGCATTTTTTTATTTTTTTATTTTTTAGCCTTTTTTTTTATTTTTGCACCTTGCTCAAAAAGGTGCGCGCCTCAGGCACAAATTGACCCTTGCGCATTGCATTTTTAAAACACTGCTTAAACCTTGTCATCATCACTATCAATATATCAAGCATATATGTTGGTCTTCCTCCACTTCAACCCACTTCAAGATTCTTAACAAATAATATATATACATTACTGATTTTCTAGGACTGAAAATAAAATTGCATGCTAGATAATTAACTGTTCTAATATGACATGTTTATACTAATATGCTATATAGTTAAACATTAAATTGATTTAAAAACTTTTGGTTTGTAGTTCCTAAGTTTTGCTTTGACTGACTTATCATTTGTAGGTTTTAAACAGTCCGAATTGCTTTTTGGACGCACAACATTTTTTTCTCGAATGGCTGGAAAACTCAAGTCTTTGAAATATGGAGGTATGGTTATCCAATTGGTTGAATTCTCTAAGGTGCCATGTGTCAAAGGCAATATTTGCTACTTTGGGGAGAGGACCCTTACTGACTTGATTATTTCCTAACACAAGAAAGATGTTCTTTCTCCCCATGCCCCTAAAAGGTAGGGGCTATTCGAGTCGATCCAAGCCAAATATCTAGTTATTCGAGCTCAGCTTGCCAATAAAGTATGAGGCTTGAGCTCAAGCTAGAGACTTGAGATCGCCAAAATCTTGTAAGCTCGAGCTCGATTGTGAACCAACTGTTTTATAAAAAATATTTTTTATTTGACATATAAAAAAATTAAGAATTATAAAAACTAGTTACTATTATTTTTTATATAAAAAATAAAAATTATATATATAAGCTCGATTAGGCTTACGAGGCTCACGAGCCAAGCTTTATTGGGCTTGAGCTTAGCTTAGTTTAGGCCAAGCCAAATCGAGCTTTTCACGAGCCGAGCTCGAATAGCTCGTGAAAAGCTCGGCTCATGGCCACCCTTGCTAAAAGGGGAGAAAAGCAAGTGGGGATTAGTGCTGAGATGCATAAGTGTAAATTAAAAAACATAAAACTTTCGGTTTGTTTTTTTCTTGAGAAATCCATAAAACATTCACTTGTTCACTGATGTTCCAAATGGTACCGTGGAATAGATTGCTTTGAGAAGTGGGATTTCATAATTACTGATCGGTCTACAATCTCATTTTTCAGGTTACAAGCAACAGATTACGAAGACAATGAGAAACCTTATTAGGTTGTATTCATCATTCCCATTAGAAGTGGTGTCAGTGTTGTTGCAGTTTCTACTTAAGTCATCTGATTGTTCAGAGGGAAATGAGGTAGACTCCTATAAGTCACAAGTGGAGAATGATCTGGGCAGTTTGAAACCCATACAAGGCACAGTTAATGTTTGGAAGCTTGTAATAGCCAAGTTATCTCGTAAGGAACCAAAATTTCTCCTTACCATGATAAAAGCAGTACTTGAGATGATTGAGGCACAGGAAACCCCAAGTTCTGGAACTGGTATTTTTCAATTCTTTCCTTAGTGTTTGCTTTTTACTTGTTATTTGATTTGAATGTTTTTCTGTATATTTATCTCTAACGGCATTGTTTTCAAATGGTTTGCAAGGTTTATTTTCTATTATTTTTAGTTAACCTCAGTTTCTTGGATGAGTTTTCTACATTCATGAGTCCCATGATGCTTTAAAAGGTATAGAAGGTTTAAGCCCTGAGTCTTTCCTCAAGGCAAGGGACCAAGGACTAAGGAGTAAGGAGAATACCTCAAAGTTTGGAGATTCCCACCTCAACATATAAAATACATGCTTAACATTTTGGGTCATTTTTATGCCAAGTTACAGCAGGCCGAAATGAGGGCCCTGTTACAAGACTGAGTTTAAAAGATCATTTCTCTCCCTCCCCTGCCACCCCATGCGCAGAAGTTTGTTTAAACTGAGAATTTGATAGGACCTTGAACCCTTTGATGTTTTATCACGGAGTTCATATGGTAGGTTTTGAAGGGTCTGCTATCACCTATATTACCTGGATATGATGAGGGTATGTCTGGATATTGTATAAAATACGAAATTTACACCAAAAAATTGACATATCTAACTTGATATGACACCCTTGTATGGGTATCCAGGTATCATAGGTAATCACTAATCACTAATTCACTTCAAAATAAAGTGATCTTTTTCCAGGGTTTGAGGATCTATTTCTTCTTGTCCTCTTCCATCTCTCTTTTCTAGTTTTCTTTTGGAGTTATTTTGTGTTGCTGGGTTGAGGGTCTTAAAAACTATAGATAGCCTCAATGTATCTAAATTTTTCCCCTTTCTTTGCAAAGTGGAATTCTAGGGTAAAGGCTGAGTAGCAAATTGAGAAGGTTTACAAGAGAAAAGGAAAAAAGATTATGCTGATAAAAAAAGAGGGGAAAAGGGATATTATATGTGTGTATAATTCAGTGCAGATTGTATTTTCAATTTATTGTTTCACTCTGTATGTGTCTTAGATATTTCTAGCTGGTACCTTCAAAAAGTTATATTGGGTTTGTAAAAATAACTATTTTTGCAACTTAGCATGCATGTGTACAGTGCATTATGCTTCTTTTTTCCTACCATTTTCGTTTCAATAGGTACTTCCTTTCCTAAATTTCATTTGCTTCTATTTTATAACTTGTAGTTGAGATGACCATTTGACTTTCTAGCAAGTAATGTAGTTTAACTTTGCTGTTTCAATTATTTGTCTTCAACAGGAGATCATCCTCTCTCATTGTCACTGTATAATCATCAAATAGAATTTCTTTCTTCTCTGGTTCTATGGCTTATCGAGAGGCTTAAAGAATTAAAAAACCTAAGATGTAGACAATCTGAGAATGGAATTCCTTCAGAAGAAGCAGATGTTATACCAATAGCAACTCTGGTGGAAATCATACGGAAATGTCTTCTGATATTAGCACCGGGCAACAGCCTTCTTACAGATTCAGCATTGATTCTTGCAGAGATTATTGGGAATGACTCTCTTGTTGAGCAACTCAAGAAACTCCTGTTGCTTAGATTACCGGATTTTGATTTTACCGATGAAAATTCTAGTTCATTGGATCCTGAAAACTTCCTTCTCCAACAAGAGGAATTTATTGTTCAGGCAGCAGCAAAGCTGAAGTTGCTTAAAATACAGCAGAAGAAAAGTAAAATGGTGAATAGCACACCAATCAACACTGGTATGGAAAAGAAGACAAATACATGGACTTTGGTCAAGTCATGGAACCCATGTCCAATAGGTATGTTGCCTCATGCTCTTAGTTCATCTGGTGTTCTTCCTGTTCTTGACAGCACAAACGACCACAAGGTCCAAGATTCTTTAGTAGGGTCCTTCGAAGAAAAAGAGAATTGTGAACTTAATAGATCCATTGGCAAGAGAGATGCAAGCTGTGGTGTTGAATCATTGGAAAACACAAATGCCATGAAGAAGATGAAACAGTCAGTAGATGATGTTGGGTTGGATGGTCAAAGTGATTTATCATCAGGAGGTATTACCGGTCGATTGCTGATTGATGGGTTTTGGAAGAAGGTTGGGGAAGAGGAGCTGCAGGCCATTGGGTCTGCTATCAGGATTTTGGTATAGTAAATTGCATGGATTCTAGAGGGCTTACATTGTATAATGAAGCATGACCTTGTTAATGCCATTTACACAAATGAAAAGAAAAAAGAAAGAAAAGAAAGGTGATGGCATAATGGTCCTGTGGCAATTTTGTACTTTTCTTATAATATAATTTGTTTAATTGGAATATCTTTATTATTCCATTTCTTAACTAGTATGTACAAGACTGTTAGTTTGAGCTCATCTACATGCACAAAATCATCTCGGAGCAAAAATTGGTGCCATTCCTAAATATTATTGGATTATATATTCAATGAACACAAGCACCCAATTAACACTTCCTCGTACATGCATGCACAGCTAAAAGAGAAAAACTCACATCTGTTTGGATTGTGACTTTTAGAGCTGTAAGAGAAGTTAATTTTGTTTTAGACTTTTAGTTGCGACTTGTTGCTGTGAATCTCGTAGGTAGGACACAGTATGAAAAGGAAACTGAATTCATTGTGCGTGAGTTTATATAGGCCCATGTTTGATAATTTATTGTTTTTTAAAATTAAAAAAGACAATTTATAAGTATCATAGAGAGGGTAGAGGTGTTGTGGCATCTAGCAAAATCCGAGTCCAAATCCGAAAAAAGCTCTTGGCTTTATCGAATTTGGATTCCGATCCTAATGGATCTATTAGTATCCATATCCAGTCCATTTTAATATAATTCAAATTAGATCTGACCATTTATCCCATAAATGCTTCTATTTAAATGGGATCCAAAGTAAATCCGATTGGCTTTTAGTCGAGCAGCTATAAATATAACTAAAATCTAACTAAATATGCGAGTAAACTAGTTAATATGATTTATAAAATATTATAAGTTATGGTCTTATAGAGGGATTGGGATTTGAATGGTCACATTCCCAAACTTATATCCATCCCAGATACCCATGGAAGCAAAGTGATGGCTGTTCAGTGGGCTGTGGTATTAGAGGTAGGTGTCAAGTCAATAATAAATTCATGGCCCCACCGTTAAAGGTGCAGGGCTTATGTATTTTATTATTGGCATGGAATCTTATCATTAGTTCCACAGCCTATTAAACAATCATTGCATTCAGCTAGCTATTCGAGTTCGACTCGTCAAGAAATAATGAGGAGCTTGAGCTCAATTAGAGTTACAGACTTGAGCTCCAGTTCAGCTTGAGTCAAAAGCTTACAAATTCAAGTTTGGCTCAGCTTGAATTCGGTTTAAACCAAGCTGAACCAAGCTCAAATAACTTGTGGAAAAGCTTGGCTCATGACCACCCTTTGTTGTATCTAGGGTCAACCTGGTCTATTTGCTAAGCGATACCAGTTGGGTGGGTTATGTCAGGTTTTGGTCAAAGGTTTGACCTAAACCTATGCAAGGACTTTTTGATTGGGTTTGGGCTGGCCCGATTTCTTGCCAGAGGAAAAATCTATTATATTGGAAAGATATGGTATGAGAAGAATTTTGACCAATTAAAACACCCCGTGAATTGTGATGAACACCACCTAATTGATTAATTGGGTGTAAGTTTTTCAGGTATCATAACCGAACCCCTTGCTAAAATGTTTTAATATTTCTTAACACTAAAGAAAATTTGCTAAAATGTTCTTAATATTTAGGCCTAATGGTAATAAAAAAATAATTGATCAAGAGTAGATTGATGAATAGGACATCATGTCTCACTTTTCAAGATAAATAGGATAACTAATGCTAGTCTCGTTATATTTATTTCTTGGGTTTTTTATTATCAAAAGAATAAAAAATTGACAAAATTTAAAAGGATTATGAAGCACAACAATGTGGAGAGAGAAACAGTTGATAGTGAACCCAATCCTTTTCGAAGTCCTTTTCTAAGTATTCAATTTAGGAGGACTGTAGCATGCCAGGCAGGTGGGATGAGGACAAGTTTAACAACATTACATAAAATAAATGTCTTGAAAACCCAACCTAAGGATGCAAACAGATTGAATTGAACTGAATATAGGTAGATCCAGATTTGATTTTTTTTATATATATTTGAATCTGAATCAGATCTTATCTATAAGATTTACATCAAATTTGGACTGCTTCGGTTGTTGAATTGTATATAAAAATTGAACTAAAATGATCAAAATATCATATATTGTTAACAAAATGAACTAAAAATGACTTTGGTAGTGTATTTCACGAATAAAATGAATTGAAAATTATTTGGGTCTATTTGTTTTTCGGGAAATTATTTATCTAGTGCATTTATTCATATTCTTTTATTTCTCAGTTAAATAAGACAATAAGTGTTTTATTCAAAAATGGACATTATTAAAAGGGGTAATTTTATCCTATCTAAGTGTTGACAACATTTCCCCTAGGTTGAAAAGTTATTTACCCACTTAAAAGATAAGTATAACTTATCCGGACACATAAATCTGAAAAAAAAAGTTATCGGATTTTCCCCCTCTCAAAATCCAAAAAAAAACAAACACATACGCCCTCATACAAAACTTGAACCTACGATAATTTAGTAAAAACATCACATTCAAACCAATTTTACTAGTAAACCCTATACCTTCAGAGCATATATATTAAATTAAATTGAATTAGATTATACGGCGGATCTATATATAACCAATCCAATCAATGAATTAGGGCCACCCTTAATGGGATCGAACTCAAATTCTAAATTTGGACATGCAATTGGATACTATTTACAACTCTAACCCAACCAAAACCAGCCGGATTCGACCATTACTGATTTTTTTTTTTTTTTTTTGTGGGGAGGGGGCACTGTGAAATGAACTGCTTTCTGATTTTGAAAACATTGAATAGAACTACAATTATAAACTTAAGTTGTTTGTCAAAGAAAAAATCCCCTTCTCTCCCCCATTCCGTGGATACTGTAGCCACAGCCCACCACAAGCTGAAGCAAGAAAAAAAAATATCAAATGTTCGGATGCTAGTTAGCTAGTTTTGACTTTTCCTAGGCAGGGGGTCCCCATTGATGAGAAGCCCATAATGGATTACAAATATATAGGTTGGGTTGACAATCGACATGCAATGGAAGAGAGAGATATTTTTGTATCGAATTAAATGCAGAGTTGCAATTATGGTTGTGTTTATCATTTCTGCTGTTTCCGAACGTTTTGGGTTGATCAATAGAAATTGGTGAGAGATATTTTTTATTGTCACATACATTACATAGGAGAGTTACGACTTCAGCCCCTAGTTAGAAAACTCAATTTGACGTTTTAACTATAAGCATCAATAATCAATCCCATAGCCATATATTCACTTTTAAGGTATGCTTGTTTTAATTATAAACAGCCTCAAATAACAGTTGTAGGTAAATTTGTATTCATCAACCCAAAACGTGTCAGGTAGAAACAGCAACAGTACCAAGCAAACCTATATTTTACTTCATCTGATTGTTCTTTTTAAATGCAATTCAATTGCTCCATCCGGTATGAATCCCTAGGATGAGCCTTTCTGGCAACTGTATAACAGAATCGCTTTGGGAGTGACAAAATAATTTATAAGAGAATGATTGTTCAACTACCCTTTGAACCTATTTACATTCTCAAGCCAGACCAGAAGAATTTCTTCCATGCTGAAGCAGTTCTGTTTTGACCATTTTGGCTACTGATTCTGTTGTTGCAGAGTAGGAGGTAAGAAATGGAGAACGAAACAAAGAGAAGGGGTCACTTGGTACTAGTACCATGCCCCTTGCAAGGCCACCTAAGCCCAATGCTTCACCTGGCCACCCTTCTTCATTCCAGAGGCTTTTCCATCACCATTGTTCACACATGCTTCAACTCTCCCAATCCTTCCAACTATCCGCCTGACTTCAACTTCCAGCCCATCTCCGATGGCTTATCTGATGGTGAAGAAGTGTTCAACAGGGGCTTGGTCCCTTTTGCAATGGAGCTTAATCTCAACTGTGAAACGCCATTCAGAGATTGCATGACTCGGATGCTATCTGATGACCTGCAAAACACAGTCGTGTTCGTCATATATGATTCTGCCATGTACTTTGTGCACACAGTTGCCAATGATTTGAAGGTACCCACGATTGTCTTACGAACAAGCAATGCAACCAGTTTCATAGCCTTTACGATTCTCATGCATAAGGGTTGCTTACAATTTGAAGGTCAGTGCTTTAGAATTCTGTCAAGTACATGGTTCACTGAGAGAGCATGGGGAGTTTGATCGATTTCTTTCCTGCATGGTTCATAGAATTAGGCAATTAGGATATAGTTCCTGCATAATCTTGCTGATGATATATACAATTCTGTCATGTTGCATCCAGTCATGAATTAACAGATAATCTGATGAAATTCAGAACAGTTCAATAATCAATATCTTCTAGTGGGGTTTACTGGGCAGAAACCAGAAACTTGCCATGTGGGGTTGATGGGTGAGATATGGTGAAAGATGTTAGTTCATCATTTTTCAATTTTCATCTTCTAAGTACAGGAGCGTATGGCTAGGATTTGACACACTATTCTGTCTAGACATAAAACTTGGCCTGAAACAGAATTATCTTTCTTAAAATGAAGAGTTCTCCATATTGTGTTTCAGATAATGATCAGCTGGATGAACCAGTTGCCGAGCTTCCATTTCTTAGAAGTAAAGACCTTCCACGCCTCGACACATCCAGCACAGGCTGCACAGCATTGCTCCATGAAGTAATGTCTCACACTATCAACGCAACGAAGACTGCTTCAGCTCTCATTTGGAATACATTCGACCATCTTGAATCAACTACTCTGCAAAAAGTTCAGCACGATCTTCAGGTCCCTGTTTTCCCAATAGGCCCTCTCCATAAATGCTCTCCATCTTCTTGTACCAGCTTGTTGGCAGAGGATAGGAGCTGCATTGGCTGGCTAGAAACACAAGCGCCTAAGTCTGTCATCTACATAAGCTTTGGAAGTATAGCCACCATCAGTGAATGTGAACTGGTGGAGATGGCCTGGGGTCTGGCCGCAAGTGAGCAACACTTCCTGTGGGTAGTTCGACCTGGCAGTGTCTGTGGCTCCAAATGGGTCGAGCTGCTTCCCCCAGAGTTTGAAACAAAAACAAGTGCAAGAGGCCTGGTGGTCAAATGGGCACCCCAGCAACAAGTATTGGCACATGAAGCCATTGGAGGGTTTTGGACTCACGGTGGGTGGAATTCAACATTGGAGAGCATATGTGAAGGGATCCCTATGCTTTGTCAGCCTTGCTATGGAGACCAGAGGGTTAATGCCAGGCTGGTGAGCCATGTGTGGAGGGTGGGCATGCAGCTGGAGGATAGGTTGAAGAGAGAACAGATAGAGAAAGCAATAAGAAGGCTAATGGTTGGTCAGGAGGGATTGGAAATGAGAGAGAGAGCTATGGTTCTGAAGGAGAAAGTAGAACTTTCTCTAAAGAAAGGAGGTCTTTCCTACCAGTCATTGGAGAAGTTGACAGATTTTCTCATGTCACCATAGTTTGCCACTGGTCTAGATCGATCTCCTTGATTGTATTTGTGCCCGGCAGCATTATTTCACATATGCTTCAGTTTAGTATCTCTTTACTAAAGAAGTAAGAACACTTCCTATAGTTTTCACACATTTACTGAATCCTACCCTATATTTAGTTGGCATTTTACTAGAACACCCCATATAGTTTGCAACTGATTTACTTAATTGACCTTCCATTAAAACCCATTTGTATTGTCATCTAGAAATGGTGAAGTGGTCATCTAAACTGAGTGAAAAATGTTTAAGGGCATGGGCCATTGGGCCCAAGGTTTCTTATTCTGAAAGTACCCCTATCACTTCATATCAAGCTTTTAGAAATAAAACTCTCCCCCACAACAGAACTTGATTGGAGAAGATGTTGAGTGCACGTGACTGAAAAAGAGATGTCAATCATGGTGATTTCTCCTTCAGGTGATCCATGTTTAATTTACAGGATACAATATTGCATCCGTCGTTAGAACTGTAACTTCATTGTGACAACTCTTCTTCATCTTTTTGTTGATGGATAAGAGAGTTTGCTCATGTTTTACCAAGGACAAGAATGCTATTTTCATTTTTATTTTCTTTTTACTAAATTTTCTCAAAGTGATGTTAGTTGAATAAGTAAATCAGTTGCAAATTATAGGAGGTTTTAATAAACCAAGGGTGTTTTAATACTATAACCATCTCTAATGCAAATTGGGCCCTTAATTTCTCTCTCTCAAGATTTCAGATTTGAAACTTGGACACATTCAGAGGAACAGCCGACAACATGAAGTTTCTCTTTCTTCATTGTGTTTCTTTCTCCATTATTGAGCTGAAAGAGAGTTGGGAAATGATGTATTCCTATTAGGTTTTATGTTTTTGGTAGTTTTGAAAACTTAATAGCCTCCACCCTCCAACCTGGTTTTGTCTCATTTCATACACATGGCAAGGTTTGTCGATGCAGTTGGATCAAAACATGGGACCAACATTAAATTGTTTTTGCTTGAGCAGACACTTCTTCATGGGCAAAGCCTGGCTTTATCTACAGGTGTCAAAATGCCAAAAAGCGCTCTATAATAATGGCACATTGTGCATGCACCATAGATATTAATGAAGCACAAATACTGAATAATTGAGTTGTTACTTGTACATGGTTCACTCTCTCCACATGTTTGAATAATTGAATTTGTGCATATGGGTATCCCAACTTTTTCCTTTATTTTTTTTGGGTTGTGGGAAATCGGTGGAATTCTGATTTCCTTTTGTTTCGGGTTCTGATGTCAGGTCTTAGGGCTTTTTGCCTTGGTTTGGGGCCTTGCTTCTTTTGTTATATGGGCAGTTTTTGTTATGGGTCCGGGCGTAGGATCTCGTCACGGGTTGGTTCACCGAGAGAGACTCCTGTTTTCCCTTTCCCTTGCCCTTGCATACAGACCCTATTGTAGCAAGCGAGTGGGTGATTTGTCCAAGAGATCACTCGAACACTCCCAATACCTTTCTTGGTCGAAAAACTGAACGAATTTATTTTCACTCATAGCTCCTTAAATAGGAGATTACAAAGGGAATTCCTTATTGGATTCGGCCAGAGTGGGGAATCCTTAACAAACTCAAACTCCTATTTCTAAACAGATTACCTACTTCTAATGATAACACAACTCCTACTAAGAACAGATAAGATAAGGATAAGGCATGAGGGGAAGTGTAGCTGGCGGTTGGCGAGCAGAGCTGTTGTGGTAGGATAAGGTGGGCCCACCCTGATGAGCTGTCGTGTGGACCCCGCTCTACTGCTGCTACCGATGGTGCGTGCGCCTCACAGTGCTGCTGCCATGGGGTGCGTGCTGCTGCTAGTGCTGCCTAGTGCTGTTGCCGTGCTGCTGCCTAGTGCTGTTGTCGTGCTGTGCATGCTGCGGTGCGTGCTGCTGCCTATGACTACGCCGCAGCGCGCTGCTGGGCAGTGCGTCCATAACATCACACCCCTCCTGGACAACGAGCTTGTCCTCAAGCTCGAGATCTGGGTAGGCGTTGTGAAGATCGGTCCAGGGAATCCAAGTGGCCTCAGCTGATGGTAGTCCGTCCCATTCCACTAGAACCTCAAAGGTACCCTGATTGATGCGTGATCGTACAAGAGCTCGAGGTTGGAGGATGGGTCTGTCGTCCTTTAGAGGTGGTAGATGGATTAGGTCTAATCCAATCCAATAAATACTTTGGACCATTTTGTTTGGACTAGTCCAATTCAATGTTTTATTGGTAACATTTAGTTTAGGGTAAAAGACTTAAGCCATGTTTGGAAGTGCTTAAGTTAAAAATGAGTGCTTATTGAATAAGTGTTTAAAAACAAGTGTTTATTCCAATAAGCACATATTTACATTTGGCACCAAACTTTTTCAAGTACTTATTTTATATTTTGCATTTGGTAGTCTTTTTCTCTAATAAGCACTTAAATAAGCATTTGTGACTATTTTGTCCTCCATTTTCTTTCAAATTTTCAAAATATACCATCTGAAAGCACTTTTATTAAATTTCTTTTATAGAAACACTTTTATAAAACCACTTTATGAAAGTACTTTTATGGAAGTACTTTTATGAAAGTAGTTTTATAAAAGCACTTTTATGAAAGCACTTTATAAAAACACTTGTATAAAAGTACTTTTATGAAAGTACTTTTAAGAAAGGACCCTTACGAAATCACTTTTGTGAAAGTACTTCTATGAAAGCACTTTTACAAAAACACTTTTATAAAAGTACTTTTATGAAAGAAGTTTTATAATTGTACTTTCGAAAGCACTTTTATAGAAGTACTTTTGCAAAAGTGCTTTTGTAAAAATGCTTTCATAAAAGTTTTTTTATAAAAGTACTTTCGTAAAAGTGCTTTTATAAAATTCAAATAGGGATAATATTATAAGTGGTATTTTAAAATTCAATTAGGGATAATTTTGGAAGAAAAAAATTGAATAAGTGCTTATTGTATAAGCACTTAAAAAAAAGCTAGAAATTTGGACTTAAAAATAACCACTTATTTTGGGCTTATTTCCTAAATACCAATAAGTGCTTAATGGCCCAAATAAGCACTTATTTTGAAGCACTCCCATACATGGCCTTAAATCTCCCCTAAGGTTTCTCCTAAATACTGAAACATCCCATCAGTTAGCTTTCCATCCATGTCTATTAGCAAGTGACATCATGTGCAATTTAAGTTTTTTAGAAAAAATCTAGTTTTGCCCTTTATTTACCCCTTTTTTTCCTTAAGAAAACAAAAACCTACCATTTTTCCTGCAACTTTCTCCACATAAAATGTAAGAAGAAAACCAACCGTCCTTTCTTTCCTTTACACCATGAGTGTTTAACCTAAACAAAACCTTTACTTTTCTTGCAACTTCCTCTACGTAAAATATAAGAAGAAAATCAGTCATTTTTTCTTTCCTTCACACTGTTAGTGGCTAAAGAAGCATATCACCATCATCAACAAATAAGGAAAATGCAATTGGATAAGATAAAGCATAAGAAAACAAAGATGTCTCAAAAAAAAGGAGGGCTCGTGAATATAATGATGGAGGAGAAGCAAATAGCAATGGAGAGCGTTCATTTTCTTGTGGGATGCTTAAAAGGAAATAGCTTAACTTTATTAAAAAAAATTGAATATGGAATTGGAGCTCGTTTTCCAAATATGTATCCACTCAAACAATACAATATAAGTGAAGAAGTAAAAATGTTCTGATTTCCTCATAGAGATAAAATAACTGATTTTCTTTTTTTTTTTTGGAAAACACATACGATTTCCTTATAAAAGACTGATAATTGATCCATTTTATCTTTTGTTGGAAAAACCCAAGAGTAATATAAACGACAGTCAAGTTTTCACTATTCCAATGTTAAAGACGATTGGGCTTTTTCCCTAAATTGATTAGACCCATTTAATCCTAAATTTAATCTAGGGGCATATTAGTCATTTTCCTTCTTTTATTAAAGAAAGTGGTTTATGAATCTGACAAGGGAGGTCTAAGTCCAATTTGAAAGATGAGGGGATATTTCAGTATTTAGAAAAAATCTTAAAGGAGGTTTAAGTATATTTAAAGTTTTAAACATTCTAAAGTTTTCCCAATGTTTTCTTGATGTCACCGAAGACCACTTTCTTTCTAGTATGGTCAGAACTTACGCTGTGCACCTTTTTAACTTCCACTTGGAAAAGGAGTCATAATTTACATGAAAAATTAGCGCTACTCCTCCCTACAAGTACGCACAAAAAAAAAAGTTTCATTGTCACGGCATTCCGATCTACTCCGAAGACAAAATAAAGCACATGGGGATTGGGGAACATATATTGTCATTCATGGTGGGGAGATGCTCCGGATGTGTGGCTGCAATGTCTTGTGGGTAAGAGTGGACAGCGTTCTTACGAGTAGCAGACTGTCCTTCTAATGAATACTCGTGGAGAGTCCAAATGGACACAGTCAAAATAATTCAAGGCCTAAACACTGAAAACTCACTTTTCGGACTGGTATTCAAGTCTGGCTGTCTGTCAATCATTCAATCCTGATTATGATTGTGTTTGGTATTATTGTTTTTCTACTTAAAATGTTTTGGGTTATCGATATAAATTGGTATACCATTGCTATTTGAAGCTATCTATGATTGAACAGGAATACCTTAAAAATGCATGTCTGAGAGTGATTATTGACACTTATGGATTTAGTCCGGTGGGTTGAAGTCTCACCAATTTATATTGATCAACTTAAAACATTTCATAGACCAACAACAAAATTATCAAATACAATCTATGAATTGGCCTACATGTACAAACAAATTAAACTCGTCACTAAAACCAACTTGGCTACCGAGGGACTCTGAAAATCCAAAACCCAATCCTTTGTATTTTACATTCAGACATCTTAAAACCTGTATCCATTTAACAATAGAATTGGATGCCAATTTGACCTCATCTCATAAAATTAAGGGTATGTTTGATTTACAGTCAGAATGGGAATCGGAATAGGAATGATCTATTCTCAAATTCTGTTTGATTCAAACAAAAATCAGAATGGGAATTGAAATCAGATGGAATGGAATTTCATTCCAAGAGAGGGTGGGAATTGCCATTCATTCAAATGGGGGATGCCATTCCACCAGGAATGGGAATCAGATTCTGATTCCGCCCAACTAAACAGTTAGAATCGAAACAGCCCATTCCAATTCTGATTCTAGACCCCTATTCCCACAAATCAAACGGGCCCTAAGATTCCAGTGCCATTGCAATTATAACCCTATTTTTAAGATTCGATTCGGATGTGTTAACTCCGATCTGAATATGATCCAATTATAACTCTACTTTTAACCACCTATATGATAATCAGCCATGTTCAGTTTTCAGGTTGAATTGTTCGACCGTTCGACCCATTTTGACAAAAAAATAAAAATAAATAAAATACGGTCAAAAACGTTGAACGGTTCGAATGGTCGGCCCGTTCTAACAAAAAAATAAAAAATAAAAAAAATGGTCAAAACCATTAAATAGTTTGAATGGTTCAAACGGTTCAACCACCCGAGTCAACGGTTTGTTGACCAAATCAATATTTTTTGGCCAAAATCCGGTTTTGACGAAAAACAGAACCAAT